ATTATATTAAGTTGAGTTGATTTATACGACTCGTTGAATTTGTATAATTTAATAAATTAAATCTAAGTTGATTAATTAAATGAAGTAACCAATGATTTTGTGGTCTAAGTGGCATAAAGCGACCTTTTTAAAAGGAAAATAGTAAACTCATTGTAGTATCTTTTCATTTATATTTTCTTAACTTGTTAAAGCACAAAGAGTCAATACCGTTTTTACGAAAACTTGATCTCATAACTTTTCATATGGAAGAGTCACTATATGCCATGTGAACACAAAGTGCTTGACTAACAGAATTATTAGTACTTAAAATAATAAATGGAGAAGTTAAATCGGTTAAATAATTATATTTGAATTTTTTTCCACGAAAAGTATATCACCGTATCAAAAAGCAAGAATGCAAAAGAAAAGAAATGAAAGGAAAGGAAAAGAAAAGAAAAATTCAAACTTAAGATTTTAAAACTGTGACCCCCCCCCCCCCCCCCTCCCTTTTTTTTTTAATTTATTATTTTTACAACATTTTTTTAATTTTTATTTTCATATGGTTCTATCTGCTCTGCGTCTTTCTCTCTCTAGAAAGGGTAAAGGTGGTAGATTGTAGAGAGAGAAAGGGGTCTCTTTGGACACTGTTCCCTCGTCTTCGATTCAACTTTCTGAAGCGAAGAAAGCCGATAGTAAATCGCTACCGAGAGGAATCGATCGGAAATGGGGCAGCAGAAGGCGCTGATCTATGCTTTCGTGGCGCGCGGGAACGCGGTATTGGCTGAGCATACCGACTTCAATGGGAACTTCAACTCCATAGCCTTCCAGTGCTTGCAGAAGCTTCCGTCCTCTAACAACAAGTTCACCTACAACTGCGATGGCCACACCTTCAACTACCTCGTCGACAACGGATTCAGTAAGCCGTCTGTTATAGAAATTTTTTAAAAAGTTTGATTATCGTTTCGGATCGTCGAGCACTTCAGTGCTAAATTAGAGGAAATGAAAAAGGAAAATGAAAGATTTGAGTTACTAGTGCTCGGGATCGAGCTGTTTGGATTTAATCCGACGAATTATTTCACTTGAAGTGCTCAGATTTGGGGTTGTAGGTAACCGAATTGTGTGATGTGGATGCTACATATGCGAGATGTGGAGTAGGTGAATGAATCCCGGTCGATGTGATTGTTGTTAGTTGATGCTGAATTACCTTTCTTAGATTTTGATTTTATTCACTTTAACTGTGTGTTTGTTTAGCATAAAACGCAATGGTGTTTGAAGAAGGATGTCCATTCTGTTTAATTGGACCGTTTTTGTTTGGCCATTGATCACTGGAAGTTTGTAGGTTTAATGATGTGTGGTTTTGCAGCTTATTGTGTTGTTGCTGAGGAATCAACTGGAAGGCAGGTTCCTATGGCTTTTTTGGAGCGCATTAAGGATGACTTTGTATCTAAATATGGAGGTGGAAAGGCTGCAACTGCCCCTGCTAATAGCCTTTCCAAAGAGTTTGGGTATTTTATTTTGATTGTTGCTAATATGCTATTATATTCTCCATAGCAGTTTGTGACTGGTTTTTCTATTTCCCAATTTACTGAAGCGACTTTTTTTTTTTGCAGGCCAAAGTTGAGGGATCACATGCAATATTGTGCTGACCATCCTGAGGAGATAAGCAAACTTGCTAAGGTGAAAGCCCAGGTTTCAGAAGTCAAAGGTGTCATGATGGAAAATATTGAGAAGGTACGAGAATGTTGCTAATTTGGTTGCTTATAGCCAAGTTTTGGTTATCTTTTTCTATTCTTAATCTGTTGCTGGATTTGGTTCCATGAAAAAAAAAATGCTACAATATACATTGTACAAGTAAATAAAGAATATTAGACACTCTCAAGTCTCAAGAGGCAAACCCTGACCAATTTCATCCGTCAGCCCCTTCAAATGAAGTTTAATATATACATATAATTGGAGTTTGGTACTGATTTATATTTGAATGAAATATTAATTACGAAAAAGGGTCAAATAAGCTTTTCAACTATTGTTGAAACAACAATTAAGCACTTAGAACTTAAAAAATCTCCAATTATATACTTGAATTCAGAAAAATCATTCAATTAACCCCTTTTTACCTTTTTTGCCAGCACTCTCGGTTAAACGCCACATCTTTAACCACATCATACTAATATTGCTTATTTGGAATGATAATTAATATTTAATTTTTTTAGCCTTTTTTTTCATCGAGAAAAAAGATTAGACTACTTATTTGGATAACAAACAACCATAGCTGCCACCTCACTGTCACCTTCTTCCAAATCTGGGAGAAGGTGATGCTGCTCTTCTGCAAGAAGGTGGCGACACAGCATTGCCTTCTCTTTCTTCCGGATCTGGAAGAAGGCAGAGAAGGTGGGGCTGCCTTCTTCCAGATCCAGAAGAATGCAAAGGTGACACTGTGTGACACAGTCTGTGTCGCTCTTTTGGAAGGTTAAAAATGTAGTGCTGCCATGATGAAACCTTCAAGCAGTGCTGCTATGGCAGCCAAGAACTTCAGAAAAAAAAAGATGGAGAGTCAAAAATTTTATTGTTCTCGTTACTATTATTATATTGGACAATAGACACCATGCATAATGACACTTAAGCAAAAAATTGGCCACATCATCAGTTTATTACAGTCAACCTGTTAATTAGTGTTAAAAATGGTTCAATTCATCAATTGCACTTCTTTTTTTTTCCCAAGCTTAGGGGTTTAATTGAAGCTTTTTTAAAGTTTGATGGCCTAATTGTTGTTTCAACAATAGTTGAATGACTTGTTTGACCCTTATCTATATTTATAATTAATCTAACATTACGTCTGTATTCACATGCTATGAAATACTTGATTGCTTATAATCATGGGAGATTCAAACAGTTGATGAATCTGAAACAAAAAATAAAGAAAAATAATTCTTCCACTCCACAAACTTACTCTCAACTTTTACCCCCACTTGTGTTCAAATTTTATTGGAGAAAAAAAAAAGAATGAATAAAAATCATGACCCCCCCTATTATACAAAGCATGCCACATCATAGGGAGTAGAAAATGGGAGTAGGAAATGGGAGTACATGTAGAATTACTCAATAAAGTTGAGTGCTATCTGACCTCAGTGTATTCTCTATCTGTTTCTTTGTCTGAAGTTTCTATCCTCTCAATGTCACAGCAGTGTGGGAGCACCAAATAGCCTGTATTAATAAAATTTTCTACTATCCTTTTTCTTCCAGACATTCAATGAGGTTCATGAGAGCTGATATACCTTGTTATCTATGTTACCTAATAGGTTCTTGACCGTGGTGAAAAGATTGAGCTTCTTGTGGATAAGACAGAGAATCTTCACCAACAGGTTTCTCTCTTTCTCTCTTACATTTATGGAGAGTTTGTTTTCTTTCTTTTTTTCTTTGTATTTTTTTTCCCCTCTATTGGTTTGCTTTTTTTTTTTGCATGTACGCTGTTTTCCTTGTATTATTCAACAAATTGAATGTTGCATATAACTCCTTGGAACATTTCTTTCATCTGTGTTTCATACCTCCTAAATTTATTTGCAGAATGATTGCAAATGCATAAACCTTGTCCAGAGAAACTTTGAACGTAGCAAAGTGATATGCCTGCATTGAGTACTGACTACTAAGTCCGTATTTACCCAATTTGATAATCAAGAAAAAGATGCTTTTTTCTTATTATTTAGCCTTAAAAACCTTCCTTTTGTTTCTCTTTGGTGTTTAGCCCTACTTGTACAGCTGAGCAAAATAAGCCAAACCCCACACCCCCAAAAACTGAGAAAAGCAAACAAATATTTTTAAATGGTCATTATAAATTAAACATTAGGTAACATTAGCTGCCCAATGACCCTATGACAGTGATATGCTAACAAACTGGTTTCAGATACTAAAAATGAGTACTTAAACCTTCATTACTCCTCACACTTTGCTAAATTCTAGCTGCAGTACTCAAGCCTCGTAACGCTACTCAGTGACACCATAATCTTTTTGTTTTTGCATTTAACATCAATACTAAAGGTTCTTGCTTTGCCACTTTATCTGGCATTAGTTCACTGGTTTTAATTTTCAGTAACTTTTGGTTTGAAACAGGCACAGGACTTCAGGAGCACTGGCACGAAGATCCGTCGGAAAATGTGGCTGCAGAACATGAAGATCAAGCTGATAGTGTTGGGAATTATAATAGCCCTGATCCTCATCATAGTCCTATCTGTTTGCCATGGGTTCAACTGTGGAAAGTGAGCTTGTTCTGCTATGATAATATTTTGTAGAGGACACTCCATTATTATGTCTTGCATTTTTTTTTTCTTTTTCCATGCCTCTTGAAATCAAATATGTAGTAAAGGACACACACCTGCCTTATTAACAAATTGCCACCATCTTCTAAGAAGTGTTACCCTTTTCATTTCACTCTTTATTGCTACATTCATTTTTAACTTTGGTCTTCCAACTTGCATTCTATCTCAGTGGCCTGTAAGCTGTAATGCATATTAGAACATATTTTAAGCTCAGATTAAGACTCTGTTTAGTATACATAGGTAACATAGCTTATAAGCTAGCTTAAAGCTGAAAAACAAAACAGGGCAAAATCCCAACTTATCCAACTGGATGTAATTTAAAGATGGAAATTTCTTGCTTACCCATTGCCAACAGTCAGAATAATTCATTCTGCAGGTAATGCAATGGGTTTGATTCCTATAAAACAATATTGTGTGATTAGTAAGTACACTTGTAAATTATTGGTTGTTCAAGGGCTTTCATCTTTTGCTTTTGTCACCTCTTTTGATTTGCTTTTAGCTGATATTAAAGATCACTTTTGCTCTCTTTCGTCAAACATTGTCAAACGTTCTGCGAACCGGACAGTCCATCTCCTTGCAAGGAGTCCGTTTCTATGTCTGAACGTAAGGAGTGATTTTCTGCCCCTCCTTCCTTCATCTGTAATACTCTTTCTTATGATTTAATATAAGCTTGTTCTTGTTTTCAAAAAAAAAAAAAAAGTACACTTGTAATAAGAGCAACTGAGAAAATTCTATCACTTTTACCACGTGAACATGCCTTACATTACTCATATTCTCACAGATTGGCTATAAAATTTGCTTTCATTATTCTCCAAACATCTCTCATTGTCATGACAGAATCATACTATCAGAAGGCCGACTTAATCTGAGATTGTTTGGGATGATCATAGATTTTGCCATCTTTGAGCTCTTTTTCTTCTTCTTATTCTCCTTCTTTCCATCATCTCCATGATTCTCACATGAAACCCTCTTCCCAATCCCACCACCTCTACACACTCCAGCTGTACTCTGTTCAATCCCATCATTCCTCCCTTTCTTCTGCAACAGCTTGAACTTTACTCTGATTCTCTTCACAGGCAAGTTCTTCTTCTCCTTCCCTTCTCTTTCCACTCTGTTATTTTTCCATTCCCAATCTGATTCGGACTCCTTTTCCTCTTTCATTCCCGTACCAAACCCCCATTTCGCCTCCCCCTTTTCCTCTTTCTCAATCTCCGGCACAGAAGGCAACCACTTCGGAACGTGCCTAAACCTTCCCTCGTTATACTGATCCACGCCGCCGCGCTTCGGCAATTTTACTTTCTTCCTGAAAAACGTATTCCTAGGCAGAGGCTTCGCGAACGGCGTCTCCTCGGTGTACTTCACGAATCTCTCCAGCTCTCTTATCAGCGACGAGCTCAATGCGTTGCTCGTCGGTATCGACGCGCCCTCGAACCCCTGCACGGAGTTCAGCTCCTCCAGCGACGCAATGACGTCTAGGAGGTTTGCCTCCGTACGGCCGCGGGAGTTCGCGGACGAGGCGGCGGATTTAGCGATCGCTCTCAGGTATAGACCGGTGACGTCGGTTAGAACCGCGAGCGCCGAGGCTTCCGCCGCTCCGTACCCCACTGTTCCGCAGATCTGCGCCACCGCTACTCTGGTTACTGCGGAGGCGTAATCTGATTGCGGCGGAGCCTCCGCGGAGGAGTGATCGCGCGATTTCATGGCGAAGGAGAGTGTATTGTAATACCGAAAGAAGAATGATTATGAAGGAGATTGAACGTGGGGGAAGTGGGAGGAGGAGCAGTTTTGTTCATCTGAAATTATAACCCTAGAATGTCTCTAAATATATGCTAGGAAAACGAAAATAGTAATTACTATAATTATTTTAAATAATTTCTTCCATTATTATATTATTATTATTGTATTATAACTACTCACAAAGTCATAATTTTACTATTTTATTTCTCATGATTACTAGTTTCACAACTACTATTCTTTTTCTAGTGTAGAAGCTACGTGGGTACATGGCATGAACCTAAAGAGAGACTTAAAACGGATTGGACATTTTTTTTTTTTTTTTTTGGAAAATAGAAGGACTAGATTAATTCAAATTCGTAGATAACACATTAAAAATGATATGTGGAGGGTTCGTAAACCACTCTAAATAACCTGGTATAGAAATAGACTGTCTGATTCGCAGATCGTTTAGCAAAGACTAAATTACGGTGAGTAAATACACTCAGTAAGTTGTTAATTTCCTGCAAAACAAGATGAAAAGAAGAGTTTCCCATGTTTGCATTGAGCCCTTGTACCACTTCGAGAGAATCGGTCTCCATGATCACTCTGTTGATGTTGATAGTTTGCAGCCAGTTAGGAGATTCTCTTATTGCAACTGTCTCAGCCTCTTTTAAGGTGTAAGTTCCTTTTCATTGGGTGCCTCTAGCTGCCACGAAAAGGTCTTGATCATTCCTAAAAACACACCCAAATCCCATACGGGCTCCCTGTTTATCAATAGCTGCATCTACATTCAATTTTAGAAAGCCATGGTGAGATTTAGTCCAGTGTTCTTCTGATACCACGCTTCTCCGAGTTTCTTGATCATCTGTTGTAGCCTCCTTCCAATCTGCATAGTATCTGGTTCCTCCAAAGGATGTTGTTTCTTAGAGTCTAAATGTTTCAACATACCACATAGAAAGTGCCCAGTTGATTGCTTAGCTTGTTAGAGCACTTGCCACTTTGATGATCCAATCATTGAAGCTGTCACATGTTCCAGGCAGGGTTTGAATTCTGAGAAGATTCCAGCAAGCACCTGCAAAATCACACTCGACGAACTGGTGGAAAATAGATTCCTTTTTTCCCACTACTACATAAAAAGACACATGTCATTGCAATTGATCTGCTTCTTCCTTAGATTAGTAGTATGAGTGTTTGACTACTATTCTTCAGGTGCACAAGCTTGTATCTCTTGCATTCAGAAAAAGAATTTGATATGATGGGAAACTAAATATCATAATCAAGTAGAGGATACATTGAGGGAGAGCATCTATGATATGATATGATCCTGTCCGCATGTTGATTTTGCTAGTACATATAGGATGACAAATTAAACAAATCGAATTAGAAAAAAAAAAAAAAAACACCCCCGAATTGGTTGGCAGATTAACAACTCAAATCTCACCACATGTTTCACCTAAGAACTCATTTGTACCTGAACCCTAGCTCATATATATATATATATATATATATATATATATATATATATATATATGGAAGGGATTAGGTGCATTTGTTGCTTCCCGTGCGGATGTGCGGTGAATTAATGTGCGTGAGGTTTATACTTAATGTGCGTGAGATTTGTACTCAATGTGTCTGAGATTTGTACTTAATGTGCGTCATGTTAATATGCGTGAGTTTTGTACTTAATGTGCGTGAGATTTGTGTTTAATGTGCGTGAGATTTGTGCTTAATGTGCGTGAGTATTTAAGAATTACGAGTTCAGAAGGAAGCAGAACAGAAACTCACGCACATTAACGCCCAAGTTTCTTGTTACTTCTTCCTTCAATTTGGCCATGGATTCTGGATTATCAGCTACCTTCAGTGCAGTTGAATGTTTATATAAATGACGCACGCACAGTAAAATTTGCACAGTAGCTAAGTGTGGATTTCTATTGTATTATTCCCATAATTCTTAACCACCATAGTCCGCCTCCGCATCATCATCTTCAGAGAGGGGGCAAATGGCTACTGGGGATGGGGAAGAAGCTGACATCAATATTTTCTGCTACATTTTACACATTCACGCACATTAAGTACAAATCCCAGGCACATTAAGCACAACACTCACGCACATTGTGTACAAATCTCACGCACATTAATCCACCGCACATCCGCACGGGAAGCAACAAATGCACCTGATCCTTTCTATATATATATATATATATATATATATATATATATATATATATATATATATATATATATATATATATATATATATATATATATATATATATATATATATATATATACACACACACACACACACACACAAGCATTTCTTATGTGTGATGCGCAAAAAATAGGTGTCAATATTAATATTTTAGTTTAAAATTTTAAATTTATTTAGATTTTAGATATTTAAATTATTGTAAATAATAATAATAATAATAATAATAATAATAATAATAATAATAATAATAATAATGATAATGATAATGATAATGTAAAACATTTCTATAAATTTAATATTTATATTTTAAAAAATAACTAACATATAACCCCAATATATAATGTGTATATTATTATTATTATAATTATTGAAAATAAGAAAATATATGGTGGATGTATGTGGATGATAGCAATAGTGGAAAAGGTAACGGAAGTTATAACGGTAGGGGTATGTTTGTCCAAAATATTATATAGTACAACATTTAAAGCATAATGTATCATAAAACTTAACGAAAAAACGGACATAAATGAAGGGTATAACCTTCATCCACACTTATTATGTTTTTAGATATTTGCAACTAATGCAAAGAAAATTCAAAGGATGTTGTTATTTGTACCACCCTCTAGTCAAAAGTAGGTGTAAATCGTATTGAAATTGTTAAAATAGTAAAAAATTCAACAATCTTATAAGTGGTGTAAATAGCCATAGAAGTGTTCATATCGCTATTTACACCACCTGGTTAAATGCGATTTACGAGATTCTATTAATAATTTTCTAATTAAAAATTTAATTAATTAAAACATTAAAAAACCAATCCCTCGCCTTCTCACCGGAGAAGACAACTCAATTGCCTTCTTCGGTGAGAAGGCAACCCCTCGCCTTCTCACCAGAAAAGGCCGGTGAGAAGGCGAGGGGGAAGGGGGGTTTAATGTTTTGATTTTTAAATAAAAATAAATAATAAATATTGTTTTTACAAAAAAAATATAATGTTTGACTATATTTAATGAAGGTGGTGCAAATAACAATTTTCTATTTACACCACCTATAAAGCTATCACACCGTTTTGATTTTGCTCCTTTTCACTAAACATGGGAATTTGGACCAACACTTTTGATTTTGCCTACACTTTCTTTAATGCATCCATCTAGATTTGATGTATATGTATGTATCTCTTCTTTCTTGGCCCCTAACACAGGCAATTACAATTGCCATGTGAACCCCTTCCTGAAAGAACATAATAAACATCACTATGCATAGAATCATGGCAATCATTAAAATATGCACGGGAATTAAAATTCATGCGCTCCTCTTACTTAATTAGTGTTAGTGTTAGACTTTCAGTTGGAGTGCTATAAGTTTTATTCCTTACCTCTTTAAAAACTAGCTAGTCCTCTTCTCATTCTCACAACTTTAAGTTGCTAAATGAAAAATGAACTTAGACAAAAGATATAGAACTTAGGAAAGCAATATAATGAGCATCCATGGATAGTATATGTTTACTAGGTGGTATAAATTGAAGATATAGACAAGGACATTATATTTGGGATTAAATTGATCGGAGGATTACATTATTGTTTCTTCATATTTTTATTATACATAATACTCTTTTATGCAAATGAAATACAATTTACATGCAAGAGATCATGATATCGTAATGTATCTTTTGCTAGCTAGTTAGAGTATTGATATTTCTTGTCAAATGCATGCAATTTGAGATTCTATTGACAAGTATTATATATATATGGTTCATTACTTTTTTTTTTTTCTTCTTCTTTTAACTATTTATGGTGTCAACATAACTCTTTTCACTCAAGGTCTCATATATGTGTCTAACTTCTAAGCATCTAGCTATATATGTTTATGCTTTGATTTACATTTTCTTTCTATTGAATAATATTTTAGCTGTGTTAATCTTGTAAATATGTTATTACCACATTTTAACATTTTAGGTCATATGACTAAACTACCACATTTTTCTAAATTAAAAAAAAAAATTGTAATAAAAACATTTGAGACATCACGACCATTGCACGATTGTTGCACAATTGTTGCACAGTGCTTATATATGTTTATGATCTCATTTACATTTTTTTTATTGAATAATCTTTTAGGTGTATAAATCTTGTAAACAACCCATTCATTGACTCGATTAGCTTCTAATAGTGTTATTATTGCCATGTTTGGTAAAATATTGGCCTATAGGTCAATTTTGGCTTATTTGACCACTATTAATTTTTTGATTTAGTTAAAATATCAGTATAAATGTTTGGTTAATTAACTTTTTGCAACTCCAAAAGGCTAAAATTCAAAAAGCTACTCCAAGCAACTTTTTCAATTAGCTTTTTGAGAAAAAGAAATTATATCAAACAGCTATCAGGTAACAACTAATTTACCAAACATTTTTCTACAATCAGCTAATGTTATCAACTATTTATACCATCTAATTAACACAATCAGCTAACAACTAACAGCTATCAGCTAACAGCCATTTTACCAAACAGGGCCATTATGTTTTTCACTATTGTAACCTTACATGAGCCTCACTTCTAAGTTACAAATATAAAGAAATTTCCAACCCCTAAAACTAGCTTTGATAGCAAGGTTTAAGTTTTCAACTATTGTGCGGTCTTTCAATTCTATCCACCAATATCGTGTAGTGCTTCAATCCTCTAAACAACAACATTTGAAATAATTGCTAATTACATTTGTTAAATGTGTGCTAGAAATCTAGAATGATACTTGATTCAATGTTTACCTTTGAAACCAATGACACATATATAACAAAGTGAATTTGAGTGAATAATCTCGTGTTTGGTTCATAGGTTTAGCTATTAGGAATGAGAATCAAAGTCATTATTATTGTTTGATTGACAGGTTTCTAGAACACTACCATGAAATTTGATTA